TTGCTGGTATTACATGGTTATTTGTTGTGATGTTGAAACCATTAGTTAGAACTGGACTTTTAGAAAAGGAGTCTTTGTGGAAAACATAATAATATCAGAAAATAAAGTCTGCTCTTTTGTGAGGCAGCTCCTATTATCTCTCCATTTTGAGAAATCATCTTCAGCTCAAGCGTATTACCATGGTGATGTGTTTGCATTTCAACAAAACAAAACGGAACCATAAACTAGAGCTCTGCATGTCTAGCTCCCGTCCTAGGATTTTTATTGCAGCATCTTTATTACTCAGTGAAATCTCCAACGTCCCTGGCTAAAAATCACAGCAAATAAAGTTTCTCAGTCAGACACAACAATCTGGATCGCTAATCTCAGAATTGTAAGAAATCGCAGAAAAGCAAAAAGAAGAGTGGATGTTAGAGCAGGAGGGTAAAAAAATAAGAAAAGAAATAGCCCACGGGTGAATGGAGATGTACTTGTTCTCCAAAATAAGACCGTGGAAACCAACAAGCTTGGCAGGGTATCATGCTTAATGGGAACTGGGTGTGTGGCTTCGCCCTCTGAGGTCTGAAACAGATAAACGCTGTCAGAATTGCTAGTATGTACATCCTCTCTCGAAGGAGCGCTCTTAGAACTGGCTCCCCGGTCTCCTGTGTAAGAAACTTATTTTGCTCTTCAGAATAATTGCACATAATTTTGACAACTAAAAGGACTCTCCAGGAGGTGGGGTTTGAATTCCTCAAAAATTCCTACACTTAGCGCCAGCCAGCCGGATGCAGGAAATAGTTGTGCATAATGTTGTTTGCCTATGGAGAAAGAAAGACCACACCATCTAATCCACAAAGTGAGAAAACAAGATTTGGACAGATACATACAAGTATTCTATCACTTCTGCGCAAATATTGTATCAAGCCATCTCTTCCCAAATAACAATTTTGTTAGCCTAAGAACACATTAACTCAGTCAGATCTGGGCTCTCACCAAGCTTTATGGTAACCGCTCTGCTTATTGGTAAATAAGCCACGGAATTTTTGCCTAGCAACCCCACCATGGAAACACAGCTTGACTCTCTAAGTGGCGGGGAGGTGGGAGGGGCAAGGAACAGAAGGGCGGTCCCTTTGAGGGACCCTCTGCCGCTGGTTCCTGACACCCCAAACATTATCTGCGATTCTTGTCAGTTTCAGAAGGATGATGCAAAAAGGTGGTGGTGTGGGGAACTAACCGAAAGGCAAACAGAAAAGCTTACAAGATTGTGAGCTGAGACTGTCTGAGGGCTCAATCCTGGGTCAGCACAGAAGAACCAAGAGAAAATGAGGACTTTTTTCTTATTGAAAAAGGGGGTCATCATATTAGACAACGTATCCAGGAAGGGAAACCCAGCAGTGACCACCCAAAGCTAGACAGAGCTTATCTTAAGACCAGATGTGAGGGAACATTCCTCCATAGCGGAGAGCAGCGTTCAATTTGGGACTGCCCACATCTAAGCAAAGACTTGAACTTTTCCATCAGAAATGATTGGTAACAGTCATCAAGCATTTAGCAGGCACTGAGCTGAGCTTTCACACGCTGATTTAATCTTCCAAACACTCCTGTGAGGTGGACTCTCTTATCTCCATTTTTTAGAGGAAGAAACTGATGCACAGAGAAGTTGAGAAACTTGCCCAAGGTCACTCAGTCACTTGGCAGTGGGGATGGAATGTGTCTCAGGCAGGCTGCCCCGAGACTCCAAGTTCTTAAGCACCATTTTACAGCAGTGGTGAATGGGTGTGGAGCTAGTGGGGAGGAGAAACCCAGAGATCACTGGATGACGCGTTGGTGGTTCCATTGTGGAAGCTACGGTTGAAAATGTTCAGTTAAGGCAACTGTTTTTTTAAGTGTCTAGAGGATAGCATAAATGTGGGTCTCCAGAATAACAGATACGATCAAAACCTAACACCCATACCTCTTCCTTTTATAGGGAAGTACAGGTACACACAATTTCATATGCCTACACACACACACACACACACACACACACACACACACACACGACGCTTGATTTTGTAAGTCCCTAAAATACCCTGATGATTTAAGCCTCCAGGGATTTGCTGAGCATCACCCTAGGGTGTCTGGAGGAAGTGGTCCAGGGACACGCTGGTTGGCTTAGGCAGTGAGCAGTGGTGAAATGCTAACTTGCAGATAAACTCTCCGACGGATAATGCCATTAAGACACCACGCTCTAGCGTCTGTTGCACGCGTCCCTCTGCTACCAAACAAACGCTGTCCGGTGCATCTTCCCTTCTGCCCACCTCCTGGAGCCTGGGAACGGCTCCAGCTTCCCACGGACTTGCCACTCTCCTCTGCCAGCCTCAGCCTCATTTGGATTGCACTTGCGTTCACATCCTAATTTCTGACTTAACAAGTGTCTCACAAACATTTAATTCACTTTAATTTCATTATGCATTTGAAGAGGACAATTTATTGAGGGGGAAAATGATGTTCCCGTTGCCAGCAATTAGATTAACTTAATGATCTATGATAAAAATCTCCTTTTGGGTTTTGGCTTTTGTCTGTGTTTACAAACAAAAGTAGGCTAATAATAACAACGAAGTTCTTGAATTCTCAGAGGGGTCTTAACTGCCCCCTCCAAGTTCTACAAGATCCAATACATAAGTGCATGAAATGGGTAAAACATTCTTTGTGGTTCTCAGGTAATTTGTCTTGTCACAGTACTTTCATTTGTGGGAAAAAATGTGTATTTTAATATGCAAAAAATCAATGAATTTTATTTTTTTTCTGATGGCTTTTCTAAGGAGATGGGAACTATATTACAGCATGGATGAATTTATTTTTTCCTGTTCCCACTTTATATCCTGAGTACTCTCTTAGAAGTCAGAGAACTTGACTCCTTTCTATGAACAGTTGTATTTCTTTAGCTTTTCCTATGAATATTTAGGGAACAGCTTCCCTGGCGGCTCAGACGGTAAAGAATCTGCCTACAATGCGGGAGACCCACATTTGATCCCTGAGTCAAGAAGATCCCCTGGAGGAGGGCATGGCAACCCACTCCAGTATTCTGGCTTGGAGAATCCCATGGACAGAGGAGCCTGGTGGGCTACAGTCCACGTGGTCACAAAGAGTCGGACACGACTGAGCGACTAACACTTTGATTTCACTTGTACTGATCTCAGTGCGGATGGAGATTTGTGCAGATAAATATTCGCCACTATAGCTCTTCTTTGTCACTTACCTGCCCATGGCTCCACCATACTGAACCCCCCCCCGGGACTCAGGGCCTCGGCAGGTGGGACTGGTGCTTGTGAGGCTCAACTGCAGAGGACGGCAGCCTCCCCCCAGCCTGTCCCAGCTCCGTGTCCCTTGGCGTTTCCCAGGGAAGAGGTGGTTCTGAGGTTTGTCTCCGTAAGTCAGGAAGGAAGAGGGGAGTGGCAGGATGAGAAGGAGGGTCATAACCAACCTTGCTGTCTCGGAGAACACAGCCATTTCCTGTTTGAGCCGCGTGGTCGCTTGTAGGAGAATCTCTCTTGGCCTGGAAAAGGTGTCCCTGTCTTGAGGAAAGGTTAGGAATTCCAGGACGGTGAGAGGATCCCCCGTGATGAGGTTTCATTCTCAGCCTTCCTTCCTGGAAGGGAAACAGGGTGGCCTGTTCTTCACGGAGGTTAGTCTGGTTTCTTTCCTTAGAGGAGCACTCTGGCGACTCTGAACTGGTGAACTGTTGAGTAACTGGAAAAGTGGTTTCCGTCCCTGCATGCTGGACTGTGTGCATTCACGCCTGCATTCTCCTCTCAGCTCTGCCCGATCAGCAGCTTCTTACGCACGCTCCTTTTGCATCCATAAAATGCGGTGTCTGAATGCCAAGTGTGCTCTGTGCTCTGGACCTGCTCTGCCCTCTAAATCGCTGGAAGGTGATGACTAGAAAATATTAAAAGATCCCATATCGATCTCTGAATGTGTACTTTTGCAGGGATTCAATCCAGGCAGTGTGCAAAGGTCCGGGCACCCTGGTGTTAAACAGACATTTATGAGACATGGGTTTTTGGTCGCGTGATGGTGCTAGGGTCCCCCGATGACAGTCTCCAATGGCAAACGGGGAGCTTTGAGAGGACCTTAACAGACTGTTCAGTTCGCAGGCGATGCCAACGTTGTCTTGAGTGTCATTCAAGGGGACCCCAGCGCCTCCAGTCTACCCCTGGTACCCCATAGGCAGGATTCTTTTGCCCTGATGTCAGGGTCGTTCCCAGTCTAGGTGCATCTCCACCTCCTAACTACTGAATCCTTCCGAGGCTGACTCAAGGTGGAGCTTCTGTTGTTTGTCTTAGGCACCGAGCCTGCCTTTCGACGGGGACCCCTGCCAGTCCCTCGGTGGTTGCACAGCCAGCAAACATGACGAGCCCAGCGCTGACTCAAACACACGCGATTCAAAAGAAAAATGTGATATGAGTGTACCGCCTCGCGGGGGGACGGGAAGGTGGAGCACATAGGCAGACGGTTGGAGTTCTGTCACAAGTGAGGGTGGGCTCAGCTGTGTTTTTCTTTTCTTCCTAACCTTCTGGTCTGTCTCTGGAGCCAGTTTTTCCAGCATGTGCCCTTTGACTCAGGGGAAGCCAGGTGCAAATCCATCACCGCCACTGTGGAAGGAACCCCAAACCTGTGCCTCCTAATGGAGGGTCAGTGAAGCCACGTGAGAAACAGCTGCAAAAATGGCCTTTCTTGGGAAGCAGTCTCGTTTACCCCAGTGAGGGGGGCATTTGGGCTGGAGTCAGGGAACCATGCAAAAGACGTTCAAGGGGTCTCTTGCCCAAGGACCGCCGAGACCAGCTGAAAACTTCGGTCCGTGCTTTTTTCTAGGAGAGGGTCCACAGCTTTCATCAGATGCTCCCCAAGCTCCTCACGAACAAAGAAAGGTCCCAAGCCACTGACATTTTTTCTCTCTCTGTACCTCTTGTCTTCCGAACCCAGGGTGATGGAGCTGACTTCCCTGTCTTTCTTTCTCCTTTGCTCTTCTTTAGAAAAAGCAAGTGAGTCAGACCAAGATCCGGGTCATCTCAACCATCCTGTTCATCTTGGCCGGCTGTGTTGTGTTTGTGACAATCCCCGCCGTCATCTTCAAATACATTGAGGGGTGGACAGCCCTGGAGTCCATTTACTTTGTGGTGGTCACCCTCACCACGGTGGGCTTTGGTGATTTTGTGGCAGGTAAGCACTCTGGAATATCCCAGTCACTGGGGCCCTGGTGGGGAAAATATTGACTGCGGTCAGTGCTCTTCTGAACCACCAGAAAAGATGGAGAAACAAATGGAAAAGGCTCAGCATCACCACTGCTGGGCACAGGCTTGTTCCAAACCTGCAGTCCCCTGTGAGGGAAATAGCAGCCGGCTGCTGCTTTGGGAGAAAGCCAGTATCTCCCCTCCTCCACTCAGGAGGCAGGCTATCGTCATCATCATATGAATTATGAGTGAAATGAATTTCTCATTGGATTTCAGGCTTCTGAATTATATTAAGTCTCCTTGCATCAACTGACAAAGGCTATATTAGCAAGTGGCAAATATGAAGCTCTGGAGAGATAAGCATTGAGTTTAGTCTGCAGGAACCTGCAGATGAAGCTTCCTGATGCTGAGGGCAGAGTCACCATCCCTGGGAAAGTTGCTCCAGGCATGTCCGGATGCAGGACTAAAGACCCAGGTGACCATCTGGAGTTGAAAACCGCTCCAAGGGAATTTAATACTATAATGGATCCTGCATGAATCTATATAGACACAACAGCCTTCATTGTAAAAATAAATGCCAATGAACCATGCTTAAGGAAGCAAAATAAATCACCATCAAATTCTTCTAGGGACAGGGAGCTTAAAAACTGAAATGAAACCTGACTTTTTATGTGTATCGCTCCCCCAGGGTGATGGGAAGGTAGAGATAGAAGGAGGAGGCCACCTTTCTCTTTATGGATGGATTAGTTCTAGGTGGTCAGATAACTGCTGTTTCTACCCCCAGAAGTGAACACTCTGACCCAGTAACTCTGTCGTAACTTAAAGAGGCCAGGGATCCCCTCTCCTGGAATCTGGTAAAAGGGTAAATTCTTGAAAGGATGTTGAAGGTTGGCTGTCTCCACCGTAATTCGAAGGAAACAGACAACCGGAAGAGTTTTGCAGCTATTCCAGCTAGGAAGACGAAGGCCCAAGTCGCCTTTGTAGAAACAGCAGTTTTAAATGTTTTCTTCCTTTTGACAGTCTTGAGGACTACGAATGCCGAGTCAGAGTGATTAAGCATTGCTTACACGAGCCCAAGGCCTGGGGCCCCGCCCGCCTTGGCTTGTCCTCGATGCTCCAGTACTGAGCAGCCCCCAGCCTGGGCAGCGGGCCGCTTGGTGCCGCTGGATGGGAGGCCTGAAGCTCTGGACGGACAGCGCACGGGGACGGGACAGTACCGAGGGCGGCTGTCCGGTTCATTCCTTAGCATCGTCCGTAGCTGCTCTTCGGGGAAACGCAGTGAGGTTCCAACCCCAGCTGCAGTTTGGAGCTATTTCACCAACATCTTTCAGCTCCCCAAGGCGTCGTCTGCACTCTGCCGCGCTGCAGAGTCCTCTGTGCTGACTCTGGCCTGTCTGGAGGACACGTGGGGCAAGCCCTGCTCTCTAACCGGTTGCTCCATTCAGTCTGTTAATCTGGGTCACAAATAGCACAGCCTGGGGAACAGGAGATTCAAAAAACTGCTTATGATTTAAGTTTATTATTTATCCTTATGAGCCACCATGGGCTGTGAGCGCTTAGCACACACCGGCACTTAGCCTGACGTCCTCTTACCTGGAAAGGCCGCGACCTCCAGAGTCAGGGACATAGCAAGGCTTTGTTCTTTTGATTTTTAGTGATCTTTAGTGATGGAAGATCTTAATGAATCTAACGGCCAAGTGTATAAATAAATACAAAGAACGGTTAGAAAGTTTTAAAGTCTATTTTGGTTGTAATTGGGTCAGAGAAAATGGACATGCTTTCCCATGGGTTTTGACAACAGTGGTTGTACATGTAAATATGTCTCCCACAGAGTACCTTTCTAAAATTTTTTAAAAATTTCTATTGGAATATAGTTGATTTACAATGTTGTGTTAGTGTCTGATGTACAGCAAAGCGATTCAGTCACACACGTATACGTATCTGTTCTTTTCCCATTCACCTTGTTACAGGATATTGAGCTGCATAGCACTGTTTTGATTCCCTTACCTACCGCTGATTACAGAACCATATTTCCTTTGCCCGTAGTCTCTGCAGACTCGGGTCTGTTATAATTCACGGCTCTGACTGCGATTGGACCAGGCCCTTCTAAGCTGCCGTTTCCATAGCTTACAGAGACCAATCTGAAGCACTGCTGCCTTGGAACCCTGGAAGGGTGTCAAAGCCTTTTTGGCAATACTCTGAGAGCGAAAGGGAAGGCTGTCCATCGTTTAAAAAGATAGGTTCACAAGAGCTGATGGTCGCTGTGATTTGACAAGGCATCAGCTTGGAAACAGAATCAGAATGTCAATCACCATGCAGGATTAATGCTGGTTTATTTTGTAGCTGACTCACTTTAGGACAGTCTCCAACCCTGACTGACAGCACCTGAATTCCAGGCCAGCAGCTGATAAAGGAACAGGCAGAAGGGTGTTTCCTGCCTTGTTTGCTAGCGCGCCCTAGTGACAATCTCTTGTGGACGGTGGTGATTGGTTAAGGTAAATATTTACTTTCAGAGAGCTCCAAGGAAAAAGTGGCAGAGTTCTCCTGCCTAGCACAGAGATGAAGTGAACCTCAAAACTCACTTCATGTTGCAGAAACTCCAACAGTATCCTAGGGAAAGCTAGGGAGAAGGGGAGAGCGGCCTGAAAGGGAAAAGCAAGGCAGTGAAACCAGGCCAAGCGGGGCTTGCCACAGAGCCTTCTAGCAAAGTTTGGGATTCTAATTTTCAGAAGTGGCGGTAGCTATGGAGACCTTGTGGACTCCGCTGCAAACGGAGAAGAACCACAAGCCACAGAGCCTGCCCAGCCGCCTTTGGGAGGTATTAGAGATTCCGTAAGAGCTCAGTGCAGATTCAGAGGTGCTACCTGAGGTTCCAACCACAACCCAGCGGCAAAGCCCAGCGACCACCCACCACTGGGTACAGTAATCTCCAATCCATGGCTAATGTTGGTTTTCTTAGAAATGGCCACGAGCCGGCTTCACTGGAAAACGACATCTCACGGACAGGTATTTCATGAAGTGTTTTCACTTCTTTAGGAGAGGCGGCTGGGTTTAGAATCTCTGTTGCTTGGCTACCATGGGCAGGCCTGTAGAAGGTCTAGGATAAATAGGCTATTTACTTGGATAAACGACTGGTCTTTGCAATGGAACAGCCAGTCAATGCAGTCAGGCAACTAGTCAATTTGGTTTGATGGATTTTTTACTATAATCCCTATTTGTAAAATAAAGGGATTGAACTAGCTGGCCTTGAAGGTCCCTTTTTATTCTAGCGCAGTGATTCTAATCGACTTGGTCTAATTGACCCTATGGATCAGCATTATGTAAACACCATCCTTTGGTCAGCCTTAAATCACTATTGCCTGGGTCTAAGTCTCAGGGATACCATTAAGTCTAATTTTACTGCCACATGCCTACTCGTCTCTTGGTAAATGCGTATGTGCTTAAGGAGGAAATGGTGCCAACAGTTCCAAAGCATTTGAGATTATTTAATGGTATTTTATTATTACTAAATTTAAGGCAGTTTAAGAAAAACTTGACAAAATCAACTGTACCCCAATAAGAAAATAAAAAAAAAACCCCACAAAACTTGAAACTGGGCCTGCTCTGTTGTCCTCTAATTCAAGTCATTCATCGTCAAGCTCAGGTTTAAACTGGATGGATCAGGCTGGTCACTGACATATTTTTTGTTATTACGTGTTATGTATTAAGGGCTTCCCCTGTAGCTCAGCTGGTAAAGAATCTGCCTGCAATGCAGGAGACCCCAGTTTGATTCCTGGGTTGGGAAGATCCTCTGGAGAAGGGATAGGCTACCCACTCCAGTATTCTTGCCTGGAGAATCCATGGACAGAGGAGCCTGGTGGGCTACAGTCCATGGGGTAGCAAAGAGTTGAACCAGATTGAGTGACTAATCACAGCACGTGACGTATTGAGATTATTGGTCAAGATTCAAAATAAGTGAAGCCACAGGTCAGGCTCCTTTGGGGAAGAGACATGACTTTTCCTTGCCCTCCCACCCTGTCACATCGTGTATATAGCAGGCCGAGCAGCTGAGTGTTGGATGGCGATGCAGCCGCATCTCTGCTACACGGACTGGGATGTGTTTGCTCTGCGACGGCCGTTTGCCAGATCCTGGTTAAGGTAACGCTTGGCTGTTTTCAGGGGGAAACGCTGGCATCAATTACCGGGAGTGGTATAAGCCCCTGGTGTGGTTTTGGATCCTTGTTGGCCTTGCCTACTTTGCAGCTGTCCTCAGCATGATTGGAGACTGGCTACGCGTTCTATCCAAAAAGACAAAAGAAGAGGTAGGATTCCTTCCATATTCTCTGAATGTTCCTGAGGTCAGGAGCATTCTCGTGTCTAGAATTACCTGTCTCTGTTCTATGGGCTAGACCATCTCCTACTAAGTGGAGGCCTCCTAGACGTCCTCGTTTTGAATCCTTGAATGGTTTTAAATGCCACATTAAATGGGATAGCAGTTATTTCTGGATCCTCTTTCAGCAGGTGAGGAAAATCTGGTGACTCACTTACCAGCCCACGGCTCCTGGAAAAATTAGTAAACGGCAACTTATTTTTAAAAAGAAATGAAACGGGAAAAAAATATCCAGACATAGTCAGCATAGGTAGACTGCAGGTGGGGGAGGTGTACAATTGCCCCCAGTCGGTAGCTACATGCTTTTTCCTCAATTCCATGTGAGACAGAAGTTACTGAACTGTGGCTGGCTGTGAGGGGTGAAGTCTCGGGGTCCCTTTCACTCATGTCCCCTCCGGGTTGTCAGACCTGTAGAAACAAATATATCTCTGCGGCCAGGGGCACACACTCAACAGCCTTTCCCTTCTCAGATAAATGTGCATGGAAGCCTACACACAGGCAAGAAAAAGGATGCCTAAGGAGCAAAGGTAGATTCTGCAATTAAAAAAAAAAAATGCCCATGTGGTTCTGGAAAGAGAGGAAAAGAGATAAGAAACAGAAAGGGTAAAGAGAAGAAAAGCAGTAAAGAAAGGAAAGGAGATAAAACCCCAAAAAACAGAGGGACAGCTTTTTAAGGGCGATAGTTCCCTGCCCAGGGTGCAGTCATTCCATGCGGGGGTCCTGGGAGAGCCTCCTTAGATGGCACCATCTCCCACACCATTCCCTGGGGGCAGTGGTTTAATTTTCCTAGCTTGCAGAAGCGGTGTCAATGCACTCTCCAGTCTGATTGCCCAGAGAGCTAACTGACCTGTTGAAAATCAGCCAAATCAGCCATAACAGAAGAGAACGCAACAACATAATATTGACAGTTCTCAATGCAAAAATCCGAGTTACTCCTCCATACAGGAAAGCATGAGTCTTGTACTAACAGTCCTGCTGAAACAAAGCCCAGAGAGTTGGTCTTGATCCTCACGCAAGACTTCACTCCGAGAAAGCACGATCCGTGGGCTTTGGCAGGAGATGCCCCCTTGCAGTTGGTTATCAGGTCCCCTGCGTTGGGGGCGAGGGGTCGTCTGCTCAAACCAGAGCAAGCCGGGCAGTACAAGGCCATAGACGGCACTGCCCAGATATGGGGTGACACAGGACTTTCCCTTTTAGAGCCAGGCCATTTCCAGGCTAGTGGGGACGAGTGGGGCACCCTAACCCACACGGAGGTCTTGGAGGGACAGGGCAGGGCAGAGGACCAGCTGATGCCTGCTTTGTGCCCGTCTGACCTAGACACGACTGCTCCCGAGTCAGGCAGGAAACGAGGCCCATCCGCCTCCCTTTCCTTCCCCAATCCAGGTCTCCGGCGGCAGCCGCCACCATCCGCAGCATGGAGCGTCGGCGCCTGGGCCTGGACCAGCGGGCGCACTCGCTCGACATGCTCTCGCCCGAAAAGCGCTCCGTGTTCGCCGCGCTCGACGCAGGCCGCTGCAAGGCCTCCTCCCAGGAGAGCATCGACCACCGGCCCAACAACCTGCGGCTGCAGGCGTCGGAGCCGCTGCAGAAGCGCGGGCAGGGCGCCTCCGAGGACAACATCGTAAACAAGCTGGGCTCTGCCTCCAGGCTCACCAAGAGGAAGAACCGGGACCTTCGGAAGGCCCTGCCCGAGGACGTGCACAGGATCTACAGGACCCTCCGCCACTACTCCCTGGACGAGGAGAAGAAGGAGGACGACACGGAGAAGGGGTGCAACTCGGACCACTCCAGCACCGCCGTGCTCACCGACTGCGCCCAGCTGCCGGCCGGCGCGGGGGACGGCGTGGGCCCCGCCGACGCCAAAGACGCGGAGCGCGACAGCAGCGCCCTGCTGGAAGCCAGAAACTAAGCGCGAAGGACGCACTGGACGTGACCCAGCCTTGTCTTTTGTTTTTAAATATATTCACCCTGAGACACGTGCCTTAAAACAAGACTTCTCGTTAGATCGAAATTACATAGCATCGAAGAAGATATTTCACTGTGCCATAAACGACCGAGAAAGCTCGCTCTGCCAAAAGGGAATCAAAAGAACAAGGACTTGGCTTTTGATCATAGCCGCAGGACACCCAGGGCGCCTTCGCGGGCGCGGGAGGTCACGGCCACTGAGGTCCAGGGCACGTGCTGGCGATGGATGCGGTGGCCCCGGGCAGCGCCGCTGCGCTCCGGAGGGCGCGAAAGGGCAGCTATTCCGTAGACCAGCCGTCTGAAAGCAACAGGTGTGTCTTTTAAAGGAAGTCGTTTCCTGAACCCACTGTCGGGACTGGACTGGGAGGTGGACTGGTCCTTGTCACTTGGGGTCGGAGTGGACATGTTGGAATGTTGCTCTGAGCTCCGATTTTGAGACAAAACCGTTCAGTGCATCCCTAGTCTTTTCTAAGCTCCAGATGAATGTCCCTGGGACCCGAGAGCACCTAGAATTTGTTGGAAGCAGATGAGAGCACACGTATCAAAAGGTGCAATTGCTTTCCTCATTATAAGAAAAAAAACAAAAAACAGTCACATCACACTGTGGATATCACTTTAACCAATGACAGAAGCCTGCTGAATTTTGTCTTTCTCACAGGTAGTCCAATCGGACTCGCAAGCATTGGTGAACACTCAACCTCAGCCGCTGCGTGGTGACGGGCAAAAACCATGCCTTTTCCTCAGTGCACGGTGCGCTAAACAGGCACCAAAAGGGTGCAATGGTGACAATAAACTGGTTTTGAAATGTTCATGTTCACTTTTCTAGTGGAACTTCTGTTACAATTGGTTTTGATAAAAGGGGGAAAAATACCAAAACTATTGCCTTGCATGATGCCAGTGGCTTATTGTCCTGTCTCGCTGATCCTGAATGTTTGTGAACATAGACATCCTGCATGTCTGAGACATACCAAGGAGGACCATGGCATCGTTCCTTCTCAGGGCTTCTCGTCCCTTTGGGTGTCTTAGGGTAGACAGTGACACCAGGTCCTATCCTGCTATTTGCAAACAAAAGGAAAAGGAATCCCTCAAACCAACCCTTGTACGAGACAATTGAATTGTTTTCATTGCTTGCAGCTTAAGTGCCATTACTGCCATTTTTTTAAAATAATACTTAAAAGAAGTATTTAAAAGACTTTGCTTTTATGTTTGGGTGTTCCTTTTTTCTGAAAGCATCGCTCTTTTTCCTTGCTCATTTCTTCACTTGTACATGCTAGCCACTAAAATTACAATGCTACTGTGATTGATTGTTTCTAGGCAAACAGTAACCAACATGTGGTGATAATTATGATTTTTTTTCATGAGGTTAGAACACCCGGCAAAGGAAAGTGGGGATCTGATGGGTCATAGATTTGGGGAGGAAGACTCTGAATGGATTTTTAGCAGCAAGGGAAAAGTACGTACTACACCAAACACCCCACATGTGCCTCAGCCTTTTTCAGAGTTGGCTGGCTGTTATCCTGGTTCAAACCTAGCTATTTGTGTCACACATTTCAGTGTTTGGCCCTGGCAACACCTGGAAGTTGCTGCTTATGGGCCTCCTGGACTCTCAGTACCACTGTTTGGGGATGTCACATAGCTAACACGCAGGGTGGATTTGTCAAAAGGTCACAGGACCAACAGAGACTTCCAGAAACCATCAAATGCTTTTCTGACTTCCAGGGAAAAATGATAGCACCACATCCTTGACTGCTTCTGCCACGGCAGACCTCTTGCTGCTATTTCCCCCAAATGCACAGCTCTCCTCTGTCTAGGGCACATGAAGCCCCCGTGTGCCCCTCCTCACCCCCAGCTGTAGCTCTGATTAGAGCAGTGGCATTGCTTTTGGGAAAGGAGTCAAATAAGAATCAGGTCTGATTAGCGCCGCCCCCCACCCTGCCCTGTCCGAGGTGTGTTTGGGTTAATGCTGCCGCAGGGCTGTGGCTCACTGGTGATGCCCTGTGTCCATAGAGTAATAAACAGACGCTTGGGCAGCGATGTATATGCGGGGGTGGGCCTTGGTTCTCACTGCGGGAGTCATTCCAGCGTGACAAGATGTGTGCTAAGGAATTAGTAGGTAACTGGGCTTCCCTGGTGGCTGGGACAGAAAGAATCTGCTTGCACTGTGGGAGACTTGGGTTCAATCCCTGGGTTGGGAAGATCCCCTGGAGGAGGGCCTGGCAACCCACTCCAGTATTCTTGCCCAGAGAATCCCATGGACAGAGGAGTCTGGTGAGCTACAGTCCTGGGGTTGCAGAGAGTCCGACTAAAGCACAGCACAGCGCGGGGAACTGGGATTTTCTTATTTTGACATGTTGAAAGCTTCCTGATTAAACTGTCCAGGGATCTTACTCATTTGGGTTTCTACCCTCTGTTACTTGGTACCTTCTTTTTAATAGTGGGTTAAAATTCTAGACTCTACAGGCAGAGCTGGCCAAGAGGCTTCCCTGTCATTTATCCAGTGCGTCCCATGGGCCAGACACTAGATGAGGCACTTTAGGGGCATGAGCTCACTGAACTGCCCCAGCAATGCTCTGAGGGAAGTGTTTGCACACCCATTGGAGATGACACAGAGGCTCAGGGAAGCCAAGTGAGTAACTTACTTAAGAGCACACGGCAAGAAGGTGGCAGAGCTGGTGGTCAAAGTCTATTTGACCAAAGTCTGCTTTTGACTTTGCTGCAGTGTCCATGCTGTGTACTTTGTGAGTGTGTGTCTGTGTGTGCGTGTGCGCGCATGCATGTGTGCCTGTCTAGTTCCCTGGACATAGCCTTCAGAGGCAGGGAGAAGCTCGTTACTGCCAAGATGGGATGAGGTCTCTGTGTGGACACGGCCTAACGTTGTCCTACGGATGATCATTGTACATTATTTTGGTTTTGGTTTTGGGGATTCGCCTCGTGGCACCCTTTCTGTATTGTTAAAAATGCCCTCTGAAAGCACCCTTTTGCACTTTACTTGCTTGTCTTGCAGGAACTCGGCATATAGCTGGAATGAAACAGTTCAAAGCTCTATGCTGCACACTCTCCCAAATGGAACCACACTCTGCCCCACACCAGATGTTGGTACATGTGTGTATAGACGCTCAGTTGCGCTGATTCTTTACCACTGAGCCCCCTGGGAAGCCCAGGCCCTTGGCCAGACACGTCAGGTCCCAGTCACACAGGGGGAGCGAGAACAGCCCTTGCCCGGGGAGTTCCCCGAGTACAGATGGGACTGAGGCCCTGATGAGTACAATCAAAGAGGAGCCCTCTCTCTGTGCAGATTGACCCTTTAGAGGTGTGGGCACAGTGTCTGACAAGCTACAGTCTGCTCTCCAGGCTTCCCAGGTGGCGCTAGTAGTAAAGAACCCACCTGCCAATGCAGGAGAAACAAGAGATGCAGGTTCCATCCCTGGGTCGGGAAGATCCCCTGGAGGAGGGCATGGCAACCCACTCCAGGATTCTTGCCTGGAGAATTCCATGGGCTACAGTCCATAGGGTCACAAAGAGTCAAGAGGTGACTGAATTGACTTAGCATGTACACGTGCATGCAACCTGCTCTCGAGAGGCGAGGTTTGGGATGGCATCCAGGGTTGGGCTCCACTTCCTGTGTACAAGCTGAGATTTGGGAGGAGGAGGCCAGTTGTTTTGGAGTTGTTTGAAAGCTACCTTTTTAAAATGGGGTCCAGTAACACGGGAATTCACGTGGATAAGGCCAACTTGCTACAAATTCTACACACACATCAGAACAGCCCTGCCCTGCCCACCTGTACTTCGGTGGGCCACCCCGCCCTAAACATGGAGAAAACGTTTTGATCTTGCACATGGATAGACCACAGGGACAGTGGCTTTGATGGGCATTGTCTGTTGATTTTTCTGGTAACTGGGTGTTGAATGTTTCCCCCACAACGGATCTGGAAGTTTTTACTGATGAGAACCAACGGACAACTTGGAGAGACTTCAGCTCAATGCCCAGTTGGAACCCAGTGGCGACCCTAGGACTTTGCTTTGGGGCAAGGCCCTTATGTGTGTGTAGATAGGGCTGTTCCTGACCTGCAGCTGAGGTGGTGGGACTGCCTGTGCTCCCCTGACCCGGCCTGTGATCTTGGGCCCTTCAGACCCTGTGCCTACATTTCTGTTACCTCATCAGCACATCGAGGGAATGGAACCTAGAGTGTCAATCTTGAAGGTCCCTTTTAGTTCGGCAGTGCTCTGACCAAATGCTCAGCAGTCTACGAGTTAATTAAGTACTCTCAGAACTTCACTAGCTGGATTTGTAAATACTGATGGATGGGCCCCGCTTTTTTTAGGCAAGATGAGAGCTTAGTCTCTTGCCCCTTGGGATTTGTTTCCTGGGTGATGGATGGAGAGACCAGATATATTTGGGAGCCTGGTGTCCAAATCAGGGTCACCCTGTGTGTAGGCTCACTGTCACCTTACCTCACACTGTCACCTGTGTGGGGTGGGGGTGGGGGGTGGCTCATCACATATGGGCATTTTTCTGCATGGTGTTAAGACTAAAGAATTTTAAGCTATTACTATCTGCAGTCAATTGCACTAAAGGTTTCATTTGATTACTTTATGAATTCTTACACTATAAACAGGTTATTTCTTACTCAGATCCCTACAGACACACAGACAGACAGACACACAGAGCACACATAGAAGCAATGGCTGCTTTGGGTTCTGTGGGGATTGTTCCACGTTGAAAGTCCTAGTTGGACTAGATATTAGCAAACCACCCCTTGCTTCCCTCCCTCTGAGATGATGCTTCCTGGCTGAGTCGATGCTGCTTGTCTATTTGTGAGCTTAGTTTCGGGGGTTAGTGAGAATGTGGCCGGAATTTGGTGGGGCAGGTGTTTACCCACTGTTTTGGGTAAGAATGTAGACCATTTCGATGTGTTCTACAGTCTCTAACCCATAGGAAAGCAAACAAACATGCAGAGACTCTCTTAAAAAAAAAAAGGGTTGAAAAACGCCAGCACTGCATCTCATGTCTGTGCTTCCTACATCCCCCTTAGGTTTTAAGGGGACGGGGCTGACCCCTTCTCGCGGTTCCCATGCGAATTGTGTGCAAAAGCAGTGACCGCAGGAGCGGAGGGAGCTCTCGGCAGCAGTGAGTGCAAGAGGTAGCTAGTAAATGGCCTTAAAAACGGCAACTCCCGGAAACAAAGGTGATTTTTAAAATTTGGCTTTCTGGATGCTGTGAATGCTGCGTATGGAAACTCTGCAGTAGCATGCTAACTCCAGGGCGTAAATAAAGTCCCGCCCTCCGTCCTTGCGCGAGGAACCCGCTGCTTCGTGCTTACTCCACCACCCGCCCACCGGAAGTCCATGGGAACTCCAGCACCCCACGGCGGTCCCGAGCCACGTGACATCGGTGCCGTGGCGAGGGGGAGAAATCAGGGGTGTCTCTGATTTTACCGAAAGCGGGTCTTTTTTTTTTTTTCCCCACAGCTGCCTAGGAGATCTGGAATCTTTCTCTTCTCGGTTCTTAAAGTAGTTCCGTATGCATTACAAAAAAAAAAAACAAACAAACAAAAAACAAAAACAACAACAAACAGCCACAAAACTCCTTGCGAGCGCTTCCACTCTGTCTGCACGGCAGTCCCATGCTGTCCGGGACAACGGCGAAGCGTTCCCTCTGCCATCGGGGCGCCGAGCTTGAAGTGAAACACGCAGCCGTGCCCAGAAGTGTTGTGCAAAAACCCACCGACATGCCAGCCTCCGGCTTCTCACTCATCCCAGCGTCATAGGCAGGGGACCCCGAGGTAACAATAAACCCCTGTGTGGAGGTGTTTCACCTGTTTCTCTCTCTGTAGGATTTCATGGTGCTTTAAAAAAGAAAAAGGCATTTTACAGAAAATAAAGCAGGGTTGGGGGAGGAGGGAATTTCGTCATGTTCTTACTAGGAAAAGTACAAAAGCAACTTTGCTTGTAACATTTCAATAAGCTGTGCTGCCGCTGTCTTTATTTGGTGATGTAAGTTTTTTTGTTTTTGTTTTTTCCAACGATGGAGAAAATTGCAACAAAGACTTTCTGGAAGATCTAATACAATGTCTCTCCTGTTTTATTTGTGGGGCCAAACGTGGTTCATTGAAGCTGGGTTGGGAGGTACGCTCCAGACCACAGGTCATCTGGGGATAGGTTTCTGGCCAGGCTGGCATTCATCAGGGAAGAGCTAATGCAAACTTAACTGTCTCGCAGGTGGGGGAGCCCACAGCAAGCCAAGAGGAGGAAACTTGACCCAGTATGGTTATTGCATATTTGCTTCCAAATATCTGATCCTGATTGCATGTTGCTGGGGATTGGACAGCATGTCACCATTTCTAGGTGAAACACTGAGTTTGGGCATTGTGCCATGTCTGCCCATATGAAATGGACAACTGCTTGGTATCCAGATTTCAT